AAGGCCGAGTACAGCGGGGCGATGACCTCCTGGGTCTTGCTCAAGATGTATCAGTAGATGCAAGCCAGAGTTTTGTTCACTTTGCTGGCTTCAGTATCACATTGGTGGCTCATGTTCATCATGACCTCCAAGTCTCTTTTGGTCATGGTGCTAGTGAGTGTAGCATTGCCGAGCCTGTAAGTGTGATGCGGGTTTTTATTCCTGAGATGGCGCACCTTGTGTTTATCCATATTGAATGCCATCAGGTTTTCATCCACCCACCTTGCAAGCCTAGTGAAGTCGGCCTGGATCACCAGCCTATCCTCAAGTGTGGACACTCTTCCCCAAAGTTTGGTGTCGTCAGAGAACTTGGCCAATCCACTTCTCCCACTAGTGTCCAGGTTGTTTTGAAGACATTAAAGAGTACAGGTCTGAGAACGGAGCCCCAGGGGACACCACTGGTCACCGAGTGCCATGTTGATTTGGTTCTGTCGACTACCACTCTCTGGGTCCAACCTCAGAGCCAGTTCCCCAACCATTAGACTGTGGAGTATTCTAGGCCACAATTGCCCAATTTTTCCATGAGGCCATCATGGGACACCAGGTCAAAGGCTTTTTTAAAGTCCAAATATATAACATCAACCTCTTCCCTTTTGTCCAGGTGATAGGTCACCTGGTCATAGAAGGAGATGAGATTGGTCAAGCAAGACCTACCTGCAACAAACCCATGCTGGCTGTCCCTCTGAATGTTACCTTCTGTTAGCCTGTCAAGAATGGTTTCTTTATATAATTTTTTTCCCAAAATCTTCCCAGGGATTGAGATCAAACTGATTGGCCTGTAGGTTCCCGAGTCTTCTTTTCTCCCTTTCTTGAAGATGGGCACCACATTGACCCTCTTTCAGTCTTCAGGTACTTTGGACGAGTGCCACGAGTTCTCAAATATCCTCCCGAGTGGCTGCGTTATGATGTCTGCCAGTTCCTTTAGCACTCGTTAGTACAACCTATCTGGACCAGCTGATTTAAGGAGGTCCAGCCTCTCAAGATGCTGCCTTACAAGATCCATGCCAATGGTGGGCATATATTCATCTCTACCCTGGTCAACCCACATCATGTTGGGCAGGGTGGTCCCTTTGGACTAGTGGTGTTTAAGACCCAGCTAGACAAAGCCTTGACTGGGATGATGTAGTTGGGGCTGGTCCTGCTTTGAGCAGGTGGTTGAACTAGATGTGACCTCCAGAGGTCCCTTCCCACCCTCATTTTCTATGATTGTGTGATTCTATGATCATAGGCCTTCAGATTTTCAATGAAACATTGTTCGTTGAAAGCACCCTCCTCTCCACTACAAAGCTGCTAGTTCCCACTGGTAGCAGGGCACCACATGCCTGGAAACATATCACCGTATTGAAATATCGATATAAGAAGAGAGAAGAAAGACCTGTCCATTTTCTCTCCTTTGGGAGCACAAGAGCTTTTTGCAGTCCCTTTTTATGCCTGGTGACTGGAAAATGAGGACGTGTCATGATTTGCACATCAGAAAGAAACCCCTAGTAGGAGCCCAATTCAGAGTTCATCCTGGTTAATGGGAAGATGATGATTTGGGTGGGCTTGGTATGGGACTATACTTGGCTCAGGGTGTCTGGGGCCCCAGCTGACCATGAGAACCGAAGAGCCCCGGGGGAAGAAGGTGGAAAGCTGGGACAGGCGGTCCAAGGCCGGGCTGTACAGGTGTATAAATATAACCCCAGACTCAGCCTACGTTTGCAATTACATTGCAAAGGGACAGAGCTGCTCCTCAGGGAACCTCAGCCCTCTAACACATGTTGCCATGTTGCAGCCGTAAAGCCTAGGAATGGCTTTCCTTGACAAGAGCTTCCCTGTGAGCTCTGAAATGGCCTCTTAGGTTTCCAAGCCTGGATTTAGTGGTTTGAGGGTAAATATATAACTGCTGGGTAGTTCCCCCCCACCCATCTCTTTAACCATGATGTCAAAATAGGGGAAAATATGTTGGAAAAGGTAATTTTAAGAAACCGCTAGTAATGTATGTGCCCCTCCCCCCCTTTCACCAAGCTGCTACAGCTGTGCAGACCAAAGCACACCTTTTTCCATAAATACTCTCATCTCCAGACCTCAGCCTTGCAAGCCTTCAGCCAAGGGGGATATAGCTGAGGCTGGAAGAGGAGCAAATAACATGTTTCAAATGGACATGGGAGTGGGTGGACTTGGCTGTCTGCCCGCTGGATCGGTGGAGAAGGGAGGGCACAGAGTTCTCATCAGTGTAGGACAGTAAAGTCTGGGTCTCCCAGACCCCAGGCTGAGTGTTGAAACATCTTCCCTCCCTTTGCACAACACTTTACTCCAGCAATTAAAAAATTAAAAAATAAAAAAAATTACATTTTTTGCATAGGGCTTAGTTAGCAAGCCTCATCTTCCACTCAGCTGGAAACACAAGGGACAGAGATATGCCCGGCAGCTGAGTTACATGAATATGCTTGGAGATGAAGTGAAAGAAAATAAAAGGACTCAGCAAATGTGCATAACAGTGATATATGCAGATTTACAATCAGCTTCCAATGGCCACCCAGGCTGCACTTTTGACCTGCTGGCCAACGGCCCCCTTCCCACCTTACCATGAAAGCCCTCCTCCCGTGCAATCAGTTTAAGGAAACAGGCTCAGTCGGAGAAGGTCAGGGCTCATTTGAATCCGGGTCTATAAAATGCCTGGTTGTTTGTCTTACAGTTAAAAATTAAATCGCCAATCTCCGACACCTCTGAATGGGTTCTTGCTATTGGCAAAAGTTGCCCTTTTTATAGCTCATCCTGAAAAAAAAATGTACACAAAACACTTTTAGCCCCCAGCTAGTGCTAAAAAAAAACTAGGAAAGTTATTTTTGGTGGAGAGCCAAATGGGCCTGGAAAAATGCTGGGTTTTTTTTCTAGATGCAGGGATGTTTCAGAAGCCAGCAAACAAAGGGGGAAAGAATATGGGGCAGAGGGTATATGGGAATCCCAGGACAATTGGTAGCAACTGGGAGCAGAAAACTCTCACGTTGGCATCATTTCACAGCTGCCGGCATGATGAAAAAAATTGTCACATCCTATGGTATGTGAACCCCGCCATGTGAACCCTGCCAACCTTTTCAGACTCAAGGTCCCCCTGAGAAAATGCCAGCTCTCAGCTTTCACTTGCTTGTTGCCCACAGAAAAATATTCTGTTGCAAAGAACTCAGCAAGCCCACGGCAGGGCAGAATGCCTTGGAGAGTAGGGATTTCCATTTGAAATCTCCAGGTGTATCTTGTGAGTCATGGATCCATGTTTCCACATTTAGAAGTGCTAATATTGTGCAGCATTTCATAGCACCCGTAAAAGGATCTCATGGAGCCCCATGGTGCCATGGCACCCTACTAAATCACATGTGTCTGAGCTAGGTTTAAATCCAAGATGCATTCACATATCCGACTGCAGCATACACTTGCAGCCTGCTGAATAAGGGCTCGACGCAAAGTGGACATTGTGGTATATGGCAAATTCCATTATTTTGACTTCGTTCCTTCCTTCCTCCATTTGAAATAAAGCAAAACCTAAAGAAAAATATTGGCATTTCCCACAGAACAAAATCCTAGGGAAAATTATTTCAGAGTGCCCCGAAAATCTCATGTAGATACAATTCAAAGGGGTTTTGATCCTGTGTTTTAAAAAAATGAAATCACTGTGTTTTGAAATAAACAATGATTACATTTCACACCAAAAATATCCAAACACTTTGTCCAAAGAGCATGCTTTAATTCATTTTTTCCCTAAATGGCATTGCATCAAAATCCATAAATACACACACACACACACACACACACACACACACGAACTTTTTCATCAAGACATATTTGTCATTTTATATATATATATATATATATACACACACAAAATTATATATATATTACAACTGAATTATATACACTATATATATACAACTGTATTATATACAATATTATATATTGTATATTATATATATATATATATATACACAAAATTATATATAGATGGATAGATGGATTTTATATATATATATATATATATAAAATCTATCAATCTATCTATACTTTTTTCGTAAATGAAAAATATGTCTAGATGAAAAAGTTCCAGCCAGCCCTGTGGCTAAGTGCTTATGGAAACCTAGCTATTTATTTGGTGAGGATGAGCATTTTTTTAACATGCCAATTGTATTGGATTCATAAGTTTGTCCAAGTCTGTTCCAGCAGTGCAGTTGGTCCAATAAAAGATATGACCCACGACAATCCTTGCCTCTTGCAATTTTTAACAAAATTCAAAATTAAAAGAATAAAACATCAAATCACTCATAGAATCATAGAAAACGAGGGCTGGAAGGGACATCAGGAGGGCACATCTAGTCCAACTCCCTGCTCTAAGCAGGAGCAGCCCCAACTACATCATCCCAGCCAAGGCTTTGTCTAGCCGGGTCTCAGAAACCTCCAAGGATGGAGACCCCACTGCCTGTCTGCATAGCCTGTTCCAGTACTTTATCCCCCCTCTCTTAAGAAAGTTTTTCCTAATATTCAACCTCAACTTCCCTTGCTGCAGCCTGCGCCCATTGCTCCTTGTCCTGTCATTTGCCCCCTCTGAGACCAGCCCAGCTCCATCCTCTTTGCAACACCCTTGCAAGGAGGTGAAGGCTGCTATTAAATCCCCCTCAGTCTTCTCTTCTGCAGACTAAATAAGCCCAGGTTCCTCAGATTTCCAGATCTTTTCTTTTTCTCTTCAGAATCCCTCCCTTTTTTGGCCACCTATACATCAGATTAAAATCTCTCACATTTAACAATGTCGCCATGTTTCTAATTTGGAAAAAATGGGAGAGAGTTTGCCCAATTGCTTCCTTTTTTATGTGACAAGCTCTATGATGTTGATGCCTAAATGGCTATCATATGGTACGTTATTTTGAAGGTTGCCCTGGCTATTTGCCCTGCACGTTAACATTGTCACTCTACATAAATTCAAAGAACAAACTCACCAACTTCTGGGTGTTCAGCATCTTGCCTCCAGAAGTTTCCAGGACTGTGTAGAGAAGACAAAGAGGGGGAGATGAATACCCATGAGTCTTGGAGGAAAAGTGGCACCAATTTGAAGTCTGGTTTCTTCTCAGTTGCAAGGAGCAGAGCAGAGTCAACTCCCACCTTTCACATCCAATAAGATATAGTAATAACAATGGTAACAAAATCACAAATCCCATCTTGTGCTGCAAGAGGGGAGAGCGTGAGTGCCTCCTGATTTGGGGGGGGGGGGGCACCCACAAAAGCCTCCTAGGGCAGTGGCCCTGTCAGGGGGGGGATTGGCCCCATGCCCCCCCTACCAGTCACCTATGGGGGAGAGTCTGGTGCTTAGGGTAGGGTGTGGCCTGGATAAATGAAATTACAGCTAGCCTGTGCAGAACAGGGGCCGAAGGCCATGGTTTTACCCATTTCTCTAGGACAAGGACTTGGCAACCTCCAGCCCATGTGCCAGATCCACATTCACCTCCCTCCTACTCCCTCCTTCCACCCCCCAGCAGCTACTCCCCACCTTAGGTCACGTCAAAGGAAACCAATGGGTTACACAGTGCCTGGTTCCACATGCAACCGGAGCAATATCTGCTCATGTTTGGTCATTATTATTTCTGTTTGTGCTTGAAAAGACCATGGCTCCTTTATGTTCAGCATGGCATAATTCAAAGTCCAATCAAGTCAATGGAAAGACTTTGGCTGACTTCATTCGGCTTTGGATCAGGTTTCTGTTGCATGATGAGAGAAAGAGACTCGTCCTCAAACAGCTCAGAGTCTAATGACAGGAGAGAGGAATTGTTCATCCCCTGGGGGAAACTGAGGCACAAAGCAATCAAGTGAGATGCCCAAGATCAGCCAGGAAGCCTGTGCCAGAGCTAAGGACTGACCCCACACCTCAAGATTGTCCCAAGGTTATCCAATATCTCAGCCACAAAACAACAGTTATTAACAACAGCAGAGTCAAGTTAAGCGTTCCCAGAGACCCAATCCTGCAGCACTGGAAGCACAATGTGGTGATCACCAGGTTCAAGAAATACAGGCCTACCACGAACGAGAAGAACTAACATCCAACTTTAGTTGTGGAGCAGTAGGCAACCTCTGCAGCCCCATTGTCTATCTCTCTAACTAGCTAGCTTGCTGCTCCCTAACCAAGGGACCATCTCCCAACTCCCTCACTCTTCTGTTAGGGAACCTCTCTACATTACAACTTCTCCCACTACACACAGAATAGAGAGGGTCCCTACAGAGCACAAGGTATTTTGAGTGAGCTGAACCCACTTGGCCTCTCTGTTTGCAGACCACTGCAGCATTAGATGTCCGGGGTGATATTCAGCCCTCCACGGGAGGCCAACTTGGCTCCAAAGAAGTTTTACTGACCTCCCACTTCATCCCTGTCCCTAGGGGGGAGTTTACACTACGCCACTCTGTATCTGCACCTTTCCAGAGGGGCTGATTCAGCCCAGGAGACTTCCACCCTGAACTGGTTTGCCTGCCCTCCTCCCCATGTCACTGGTGCCCGAGGGTTTCTGTGGGCAGAGAATTATTTGCTGAGTGAAAAGAGAGACCAAGGGCTCTGGCGGGTGGTGAGACCCTCCAAGACTGCAGGGGAGGAAAAAAACATTCATCCATCCTTAGGAAAATATTTAGCTTGTCTGATCTTTCCAAGCTCCACATCCCTTTTTGGAGGGGAGCAGTGTGTGTAGGGGGTAGTGGCTTGCTTAGATGCATTGTAAATCAGTCAAAGGCACAAGCTGTGACTGCCTCAGCAGGAGGGGAAGAGAGGGAGGAAATAAACTCTCTGAGGAACAACCCTGACCAGTGCGGCCCAGTCAGCCTATGTTTAATGGCGGCAGTGGAAGGGGTAGGCGTGGAGGTGCAGCTGGGAGCTGTTTTTTCTGGCAGTCCCTTCCTGTCACCAGACCCCTTCTGTCTCCTCTGGGCTTCCTTTTTCATACAGCGGCAGATTCGGACTTGACGTCCTCCCCGCCCAGGAAAACAATCTCGATTTCTGTTGAGAAATGGAGGAAGAGAGCTGAAAAGCGCGCTGTTCCCACAGCAAAACCCACCTCCCCGGAGAGCTCTGCCCAAAACAGTTCCCCAGCACAGAGTGGCTTTCAAATAGAAAGGGCTTGCAAGGCCACGTTAGAGACCCTAAATGCCCTCCTCTCCCTATTACACACATCCGCCATTGAAAATGAGCTTTCAAAATCCACCTGACGTTACAGCCAGCATTTCCATTTCCTCTGAGATCACCCAAGGCAAGACCTCCCTGCTTCCCAGCCCGACTGCAAATGGGGACCAGAGCCAGAGCTCTTCCTGGGCTCAAACTCTGTGGCTACTCTGTGGCCTGTGATCGGCTACCTTCCAGACATCACACTTGGCTCAAGCTGTGCCTCTTCCCTCAGCCGCATACACCTTTACACGTAGATGCCATGCAGCCAAACACACATGTGCGAGAGCCTTGCCAAGCACACATGCCACCAAGAGAAGTGTGCTTGTATGAATGCACCCACACGTGGGTAGGAACGCACACATGCAAACCCCCCCCCCCCCCCCCCCCCCCCCCCTCAATGCACAGGGGTACAAGACGGGTAGACACGGAGACAGGCAAAGCCACATGTGCACCTACACTCATGTTCATATCTAAACGTATACCCAGCTGACTCACACATGCGCACGTGTGGTTTGGGGGTTTCAATAGGGTGTGCGGATGGTTTTGCCGAGACTAGGAAGTTAGTGGCTCTGGGCTTGCTCCTGTGCTCAAGGTCAAGCCAAATTTGGGGTCAGGAACGAATGTTTCCCTAAAATAAGACTGATATAAGTTTGTAGAGGGGAGGTTTAGAACTCCTTCATCATTGCACAATCTTTTCCTGGGTCTGCTTGAGCATGTAGTAGCCGATTATTTCCATCATTGCAATGGTAATCCATTGGCAGGGCCCTCATCTCCCCTGCTTTTACCTATAGCAGGTGGTGGCGTGTTATTGGTGTTGGTCCCTGTAGTTGTGGGCAAGGGTTTGAAGTGGTGATTTCTTGAGGTCCTTGTGACCCCAGGACAAAGGACTCGACGGCCCCAGAGGCTCTATCCACTTCTGTGTTGCTCTTTCTAGGTGCGGTGCATCTACAGCACCCAATAAACGAGATTTTGAGTAGGAAGGGGGATCCTGAGAGGGGAACAGAGTACGTCTCCCAAGGAGCTGGGAGTTCATGCAACCCCAGCTTTCAAGCCAACCAACAGGAAATGATGAGCATCTTGTTTCCACAAGCTGACTTGCAAGGATGTACCCCATCACAGTTAGGGACAGTAGCCTACTACTGCAGCCAGCTACCGGAGCTACTCTTTCACTCACATGGCAGAGGTGTGTGCTGGCTGCTAGAGCCCCCACTACAAACCTAGCTGATCATTTGTCAAAGCAGGGTGAGGGTGAGGGTGTCTGTAAACTGATTTCCCATATCTCCATCTCCAGGAGCAAAGCAGCTCTTGAGACCCTATCCACTGCTCTCCCCACCGGCTTTTCTCTCCAGTCCTTCCTAATCTTGAGCACATGCTAATTGTGGCCGTATCTACATGAGACACTTACTGCTGAGTAGCTCATTACTATTGCGCAGTAGCTCATTACTACTGCAAGTTGTGTCGCGGGGCACAAACCATGACACGACACTAGTGCACAGTAGTAATGAGCTACTGCGCAGTTACCATCACCACAAAGCCTTGCAGGGACACTACTATGCAGTAATACTGTTTACTGCACAGTTATTTAGTACTTGGGTATGCAAGGCCTAAATGACTGCTTGGTAACAACAGCATAGTCCCCGTCTAGTGTAGATGCAGCCTCTTTGATGTAATCTTGGGCAAAGTTGCTTCACACGCAACCGTGGGTTTTAGTTTATCCCGGGGAGTTTCTACAGTTTGCTGCTCAATTTTTTTTTGTTCATGTCTGTAAAGGTTTCACTTAGTCTCTGTCCTTCCATCGCACCCCAGGAGCAGGACCGAATTGTCAGCAACCCCCGCAGACGGACCCACAGCCGCGCGCAAACATGTCGTCTGCGAACCAAATATAACCCTCACTGAGGCGTTTGTGCATTGTGCTAGAAATATGAGCAAGTTCCCGCAGTGCAAGGACTTGGTGCTGCTTCAGAGCTTTTTATTGAGCAAGGTGTTTGCTTTTTAGGTCAACGGGACAGCAGAGGAGAAAACCCCGTGTAAGCCATTTATTCATATTCATTCGGCTGCGTTATTTTTGCAGCCCTGGTTTGCATAGAGGTGGGGTCTGGCCAGCCTCTCAGCCAAGAACTCCTGAATAAATATCCTGATCCTGGAACAGATCCCTTCTCTCGCCATGGGAGAGCTGCTTCTGTTTAGTTTCTCCCACCTCTGAAACAGAGACAATGGGACTTAGCTACATTGTATGGTGTGTGTGAGGGCCCCACCACACGTTCAAATTCAAGCTAAACCAGCTATAAAGTTGTTACACACTTTCAAGCACTGACTCTGTAGCTGGTTGGCTCTTTTTATAGCTGGATGAACATTTTTATAGATAATTACTTGGCATGTGTGGCCAGTCTTACATTGCATGTGAGCAAATTTATTGCATGATTAATCAGTCAATTGTGTAATATATGTCACATGGGGCAGGGGCCAGAGTGTCAGTGGCCTCTACTGGATGGAGCTCGGTTTGTATAACCATGTGTCCTAGACTCTATAGCACTGGTGTCCATCCCATCTGGCCCCATAGTCCTGAATGAGTGGCACAGGGCGGGTCTGCAGGCCCAATTCAGCCTGGGTTTGGTGTGCAGTATCAGTCCACGGAGCTTGAACCTGCACCCTGGTCCTACCCTACGTGCCAGATTCAGCTACAGACCAGCCCTACACACTGGCCCAACATCACACATTGAATGTAGCCTGATCTGGCACGCAGGGCCATATCACTCAGGTCATGGGGTTGCCCTCGGGTCTAGAAATTTGGCACTGAGGGACTGATGGGCAGTGTTCATTTCTGTGGCTCTAGGAAGTTAGCT